CAAGCACTGAGGAGTTCAAAGAGGTGTCCCGGAGGCTCACATTTTAATGATGAAAAGATCTTTCTTCTCTTTTTTGGGCAACTGGCCAGTATGGGGATCTGAACCCTTGACCTTGGTGCAACAAGGCTGTGCTCTAACCAACTGTGCTAACCAGCCAGCCCGCTTTTTTTAAATGATTTTAAAACATGTGTCCCCCTTCACCTGGAACAATTTGAGATGCTCTGTGTGATTAAAAAGAGAATGGTGAGTGGAAATCAAATCACGGGTCCATGATTCAGTCCCATGATTGGTTTAGGACTCAGATGAAAGCTACCAGCTGCCATAGTGGTTTGGGCCAGTTTATAGTTTCAAATATTTTATTACTGGTCATATATCATTTAACATAAATCAATAGTGGACCACTGATTAATCTATGAAAGAATATTAATATATTTCCATAACTCAGTATCTTAATAAATGTATTTATGTGGAGTATATTAAGAAAGGAAAAGTAAAAATTAAACTTTGCAATTGAATGAAACTACTATTGCTAGTCCAGCAATTTTCATATATGATCCATCATGCCTTCTCTGAGATTTAAAATTCCAAGATTTATTTCTGTTATGAATCTGCAAAATGTATGTGAACTAACAAAGCTATTTATGCTTTGTCTGTCTTCGACCTAGTGTGAATCTTCATGTATTGCTACAGATATACTCAAATGTTTGATGGCCAGGCACTACCTCACACCTGTTGGGGATGTTATATATTAGATGATATATGCATCTTACTATCCTGCTAAAATCCAAATGATTATGAATTCCAAAATACTAATGGCCCTGAAGGTTTTGAACACGTGATTGTATACTGAATGAGGTATCTCAGAAAGTTCATGGAAAAATAGAATTGAAAGATAATACAGGGCCAGCCCATGGCTCACTTGGGAGAGTGTGGTGCTGATAAGACCAAGGCCACGGGTTCAGATCCCTATATAGGGATGGCCAGTTAGCTCGCTGGCTAAGCGTGGTGCTGACAACACCTACTCAAGGGTTAAGATCCCCTTACTGGTCATCTTAAAAAAAAAAAAAGATAATAGAAATCTTTCCGTTAACTTTTTGAAGTACCCTCAAATCTGTTTCTAAATCCAAAAAGGATGCATAATATTTTTGATATTTTACATGTATAATAATTAACATTTGTTCAGAAATAATCTTTTTAGGGCCGGCCCGGTGGCGCACTGCTACAGTGCGCCGCTTGGGAGCGCGGCGGCGCTCCCGCCGAGGGTTCGGATCCCACATACAGACCGGTTCCCACTCACTGGCTGAGCGAGGTGCGGGTGCAGCACCGAGGGTTGCGATCCC